TAAGGCTATAAAAATAGTACTGTTAGAAAATCGAAAATCTATACCTCATCACGTTGATTGGAAATATCATAGATTTTAATGGAGAAAAAAAAGTTTATCATTTTAACAGTGTTTTTCTTTTTATTTTGCCTCTACAGTTCAAATGAAAATCTTGGTTATGATTTAACCCTAAACCATAGATTGCTATTTAAAACTGTTATTACATCGGAATAGTATGGACATTTATAACCAATATATAATGGTAACATCTGCTACGTAAGACGAATAATGGATTCACTAGCTATAACTTTTCTTCATGTCGCTTTATTTGCATTTGTTTTACTGAATAATTCTGCAAACATATATTTAATGATTTTATAGAAAGTGAATTTCCAGAGTGAATTGTGCGCTTGTTAAGAAAGTTCATTAAAGTTTGCTAAGTATTAAAAATTGCACTTCTCATGAAGTCGAAAGTTTTAATATTTTCGCTTATGATTCAATAAGAATTAGTATCGTATTCAGAATTAGTATTATGATCTATCAACCTTATAGATTAGCAAAGTGATTGTCTTAAAAACATACTGAGCAAAAACTTGCTTACTAATTATAATATACCGCTATGCATCAATATGAAAGTAAAGATGATTTCCTGATAAAATTTTGCCTTTAAACAAATAATATTTTAATATTTGTTTTCGCTTTTTTTTAACAAACTAATTAGAACACTTGATCACCGACTAAAGTACACATGATCCATGAACACATACGTTCTACATAACTTCGAAAAACCAGAATCATAAAATTAGAAAATTATAAAAACTTTTTCACAGAATGAATATTTTAAGAATGTACTTGAAGTGGGACAAATAAAAAACTATGTTTATATTGATCATTAAAATTTATTTATCCTTGTCTATACATTTTACTATTTACCTTTACAGTTAATAATTGATAATAATTAAAATCTGCTTCAAATACAAAGCAGTGATTCTTCTGTCCATACAGGTCAAGATTAATAAACTTGTTTACCTTCTTCCCTTCTGTTCTGTTATGAGTAGTAGGAGCAATGCTGGGTAACCAGTTTATCACAAATTTGATGCATTGCATATCCCCGTTGTTAATCAGCTATTCATCTGTAGGTAACAAAAAGTACCTGTTCTTTTAGACATAAAAAAATCAGAACTGCAATGACAAAACATATATGCAATTTCAGTTTTCTAAAGCCTCACAGAATATAACCATAATAAAAGGAGAAACTGGGGAAAAAATTTAGGCATGAATGGAGCACAAATAAGTAGTCAGATAAAAATGCATACTTTATAGCTAAATACTAGCTACAATTCATTCACTTCTTCTACAGTAATATCTAAATCTTAATATGCAGCCCGCACTCTCGTCTCTAGATGAATAAGTTTTTGTAACTGTTACTTACTACAGTAAAAAAATTATGCAAAAAAAATGTTTGGTAGAGCTCACTTACGTTTGTTTTAATCTTTTGTTGTGGATGTTGAAATTCTTCGATTAAAATACTTCTGCATTAACAATGTAAGTGTAAATTCATATCCATACTTGTAATCAGCGCTTGCTAATCAATAAACAACTCTTTCTTTCATTGTTTTTCTTGCAAGTATTTTAATTCTCATCATATTTACGTAAATCTTAGAAAACTTCACAGTAATTTTAAGATATGCATATATTATTAAAATATTTATGAAATGTGTTCATATTATTTTTAGAAAGTGCCCTGCTCTTTGCACAAATTGCATGCCCCAATACATAAATATATTCTGTAGTTTCAAAACGTATCTATTGGCTTATTGTTAATACTGTTACTTTCACCTTTCATTTCAATGGTATCAGTCATCATCGTTAAGAATGATAACAATTTTTACCATCGTCACCATCACTGTTATTGTTATTATTATTGCTTGTCTATTTATGATTATTATAATTCATTGGTACTGTAAATCGTCATTACTAATTATTATTGTCTCTACCAACTTTTTTACCTCTGTTCGCACTATAAATCAGAATGACCAAGTAATTTCACCATTTCTCGCTACGATTTATAATTTCTTTCCTTTGCTTCTATCGTTAACATCGAAATAATATAGCTATAAATCTGACATCCGTCAGTCAGTGTCTAGAATGAGGGTCAGTGCTATTACATTTTATAGTGCTGTCCCTACCAACAAACCGCTCTTCGCACTCTTATGCAAACACTTCACGTCAATTTTTTCGTATAGATGAAGCGAATTACACTTACATTTCAACATTTTCTACATTCTTATTATATCACTGATACAATATTTCCTTTGCTCACTTTTCATATGCACCAATAATTCTTTCAGAACTAATGTTATACTTTCAACATCACTGCTATTATTACAACTGTTAGTGTCATTACTATTATTTTTATTATCTGCAGTTATAATTATTACCGACACTACCACTGAATGCAGTTTGCTGTTAACTTTTGTGGTTCAGGAAAAGATTGTACTGGAATGGCTATTTATTCAGCATTAATGCACAAATTTTGTGAATTTTTCAAATGTATCATCTCTGATTTCTACTTTTCCTTGGTGATCATAGCATAATATTTAACTTCCAAGTACTTGATTCGAAAGCTTCATAGCAGAGATAAGATTATGAACATCTTTGGTTTAAAGAAAAAATCATCAGTACACTATTTTAAATCGAATATCATCAATCTTTTGAGTACTGAAACAGTTTGTCAAACATGCGTGTCAAATCTCACAACAACTCATGCTTAGGTAACACTAAAACTTGCATTCACAAACAAATATATTTACCTTCGTAACAAGTAAAGAGAAAGCAATAATTCCCGCAAAATTTAACTACTCAACTTTTAACAATCTGTTTACAAATTAATCATATTCATTTTAAGAATAATCTGGTAACTAAATCTTTCTTTTCTTAGAAGGAATTAGTGATTAGTTGATTGAATAGCTAACACGGACAGAATATAAATTATTCTGAGTTCATGGATTTGAACTTTTTCTTTTATTGTTTAGAATTTTCTTAAATAATCACTAGTAGAAAAACTGACAGTGTATTGTTGAAATGTAAGTTGATTATCAAGTTTAAAACCACATTTAAAACAATGTTTGATTAAAGAAAAAAAAATTAAAAAAAAAACTGGAAAGGATGAATGCAAGATACAATAAAGTGAGCTTTCAGAAAGAAAATAAGAAAGATCACCTTGAAAGGTTGTCAGAAGACGGCATCGGCTCATCTGGATGATGATGGCCAGTAATGCACCACACACTATACACTTGTGTACTATTATGATTTAGAATGAAAGGACCGGTTATAGAGCTGGAAGATAAAAGAGGAACGACGATTTATGTAAGATAAAAGATAAATGTAGTACTATGTGAGAAGAAAATGGCGGAGAAAGGCAGGGAAGGTATTCTTCACCGGATCTTTTGTTCTTGCTACTATACCCACCATCTGATGCTCCTCTATACCAGAAATATAAGAAGCAGCTTTATATGATTACCACGAAAGATTTTTCATTCTTCAGAGATGAATGACAGAGAATGAGTTCAACTTCAAAAAATCATGTTGTGGAAACTGGTGGTGAAAGAGAAAGGAGAGATGCAAATTAGTTCCCAAGTGAGGGCAGGCTTGCCAATATTATACTTCACTGAGCAGGTCTTCACTATCCTATCTCTTTCCATAATCCGTTTTTCCATGAAATGGGGTCAATCTGAGATCTGTCATATTTATTCAACAAAAACGGCTTTACTTTAGTTCCATTTCAAATGCTGACACACTGCTTTTTCATGAACTTTTAGTTAATACATTTTATGTTTAACAAACAAATCATAGACAACGTAAAACTGTTTCAGACTGAATTAAATATTGAGATAAATGATGAATTACTGATTTGAGCTTTGCTTTCGCTTTCTAAGCAGTGCAGTTATAGGGAAAAAGTTGCCAATTCGATATTGAAAGAAGGGGGAGGGGGTCTTTAAGTTAGAATAAATATCCAGAAAACAGAATCCTAAAATCATGAGAATAGCCAATTCAATAAGTAACTTTTACCTTGCAGTTTAATAAATTTAATAAAAAAGCATTCAATTCATATAAAACTATGGAATACTATTAAACGAGTTGACATAAAAACTTTAGTTTTTATGTCAACTCGTTGGGAAAGGTAATGGAACGAATATAGGATTCTGTTATTAAGACATCAACTTCATAACAATGTTCTGAATGCAGACATGATTGAAAATGATGAATTAGTTGGGAAAGAGGTCATGAATGCTGCCTTCGGTGGTTCTGGCAACTTTTTGATACAGGTCAAAAATAAATATTTGAAAGCTTTGAAAGTAATGTATAGAAACTAAACAGCAATGAATTTCACTATCAGAGTAAGACGGATGATATGAAATGAAAATGGTATTTCTGGTATAAAAACGATTGCTGCAAACAAATTACGTTGTACGGTAAGAAAATTATAAATGACAGAATAACTAAGCGAATAATTAGTAAAGAGGTGACAGTAACTTATTGTATGTTTGCTATTGGTAAAGAGGATGCATCGTGTTAAAAGATTAGTTAGCTAAGAAAATAGAAAGTTAACAAAGTTGTAACAAAAAATAGAAATAATGGTTTACCAGCATGCTGTAGAGTGTTCCGCAGAACAGATGCCTCAGTTAATTGAGGAAAAAGTGCTGCTGTCTCCAGAGTAACACTTGAGGAGTGACTGCTTACTGGTTCAATTAATTAGTATTGCTGATGTGATTGAGGCACTTCTGAAGGTAGCAACTAACTAACTGTACGTGGAGGAAAAGTGGAAGCAATGATGTGCTCCGTTGGATGGCGCTCGCAACAGAAGACAGGATGCAAGGGAAGCAGGGCAGGGCAGGACAGGGCAGGGCAGGGCAAAACAGCACACGGCGGGTAAGGGAAACGAACTTGACCGTGATGTGATGTGATGATGGTTGCTGCTCCCCTTCAGATGGTCACTGGTCACCCACCGTTGGTACACTTCAATGACCACCACTGCCACCACCAATACCAATATCAACACCATCAACGATATCGCCAGTAGAAGCAGCAGTGGCAGTGGTAGAAAGAGGACAAGCAAAAACTGTACTGGTTAGAAATGGACACCTAATGACACCCACATTTTTACTAATCTATCCATCTATTCATTCGTCTTATCTATCTATCCATATCTTTTTACCTGTCTATCTTTTCATTAATTTACCTCTATCTCGCCCTCTTTATATATTTTGAAAACCAGAAACTGAAATGACCACGTTCAATACAAAATTCTTTCTCCAGTTCGCTCTCTCTGGTCATTTTCGTAACTCGCAATCCAATTCAAAATTTTCCGAACATTTGTGCTACTACGAATTCATTGTACTCTGGTTCAGTCCAGTTTAGTGGAGTTTTGTTCAATTAATTAATAGAACTAAATTGAAACGAACATTGATTAATGAATGAATGAACAATTCACTCATTCATTCAGTTATTAGTAATAATTAATTAATTAATTAATTGGTTTGTTCGTTTCCTCCTTACTTTTATCAGAGTTAACATCTTTTTACTTGATCACAGCTTTTATCCTATCATAGCACTGCAATTATCTTCTACATTTGTAGTTGATTAAGCTTAAATTCCATTATGGACATCACTATGCTGGCATTTAGTGATTGCAATTTTTCTTAGCTCTGCTTTACTATAAATATTGCTGCAACTTACCGTGATTCGATGGTAGGAATTAATTGATTGTGATTACGATCATCGCCAAATTAATCTATAGATGCAGCGAATGTGATTATGGCAACATCAGTAAATATGTATTGCTAAACTTTATATTGTATGTTTTCTTTTTCACTGATATTGAATGATTGAACTTGAAACGCTTGCAAACAATAAAAAGTCTTTGAAGATATAAATGATTTAAAGTGCTTGAACAAAAAATTTAGCAGTATTGCATTTTTGAAAGAGGAAAATATAATTGGAATTACGCGCCTATATTTTCTTTTACAAAGATGTAATATGGATACGACAAAAACGCTGTGATGAAGACATGTGGAATAAAGTAGCAGTGTAGTTGCTGGAAGAGAAATAATGATAATAATAACAGCATCTGACGCGCTAGCCTAAAAAAAACATCTGAGGATGACTATTGTACTGAAGAAGAGTAATTCCACTTTTGCTTATAGTAATAATAACAAGCAGTAACATGTTATGTGCCTTCTATCATGTATAGAAAAGAGGAAAAGGGATTGATGGTAGTGTTAAAAATTGTTGCTGCGATCAAAAGTGACATCCACTCTTCGTCTACGTGAAAAAATGGCAAATTCAAATTGAAAGAGATATAAAATAAGGTAAGGGAAGGTAAAGTATTCTGTATTTTACCAGTTTTCATCATCTCAAGAGGGAAGATTTCTAGTCCATGGTCATCATTTCACTACTTACTGCACTTTGAACTGGCACAATGTGTGGATCCGGTCCGACCAGTACCGATACTTCCTTTCAACTATTCACTTTTGTTCTTTGATAGAATCCTGTACAATTAGTCAGCGGAATCGACGATTCATTCACTACTTCCATATTTTCTGCTACACCTACCTACTAATACTACTGCTTACTACTGCTATTGCTACTGCTTCAGCTTCTGCTGTTGCAACTTCTTCTATTTCTACTACTGCTACTGCTACTACCAATACTACCTCTAACATTCGCACGACATCAATGAGACCGTATGATAATATTCAAGATCCGGTCTGCTGCATTTACACTCTGCCCTATTTTCCTGCCCTGCGGCCTTTCTTCGTCTTCAACTCAGTACGGATCTGCTTTTGCGCACTTCTACCTTGTATGCTTCCCTAACACACGGATGCAACACCTCTCAAGATAATCCACTTATTCATTCACTCATCTTCACCTTGTTTTCCCCATAGCTATAAAACTAAATTGATCTTTTCGTCCCATCCAAACTTTTACCAGTTCTGTTAATCGCTGCACATAAACATTCAGCATCAAATTATTTGTTTGTTACTACCCATAATTAATAATTCAGTTTTCATCAAAATTTTTCAAATAATATTATGAAAACCTCAGCCAAAAACATGATTGGATTAGCTAACATGCTAAAATATTTGTTTTAATGGTCACTATCATAACTAAACTTTTTAAAACAACGGAATTATCTAATTAAGCTAATAAATTGCAGTATTATACAAATTTCCAAGTTTATTTTCATGTTTGTCATTTGTTAATAATTTTTTTGATTTCATTCATTGGTGGCAAAAGAACCCATCAATTTTATCTCTTTAATAGTGCCCAATAACCATTGAAGATGATGTTTTGGTATACATTTGTCTCACTCAAATTATTGCAACTCAGTACATCTGTAGCTTCATCCATCGTTATCTATGCAAAAAGTTTTTTTCCGAGAATAAATTCCACGCCAACACACAAATGACCAAATGACCTCGGCCCCATTCCTGAATGACCATTGTTGAAAAACTATCACTCATGACAGAGGTATGGGTGTGTGAAACCTGAAATAAAATAAGACACTCTTATATTTGTATTTCGCGAGACAGAAACGGATAGCTTATATCACTAATTCTTAAAGTCTTGATTTTCTTTATGTAAAAATGTTTCTATTCAAGCCCCCTTTTCTCAATGCATGGTCTTTAATTACAATTTGTTGAGAGTGCCTGCTGTCTCTGTTCACATTATTAAAACGCTCTCGAAAAACCTTCTTTCAATAGTTATTTCCGGCATTCAAATTAGCTGAAAAATTAAAAAATTTCCGATTAAATTACTAGCAATATAGAACATCAAAATATACTTTTCAGTAATTTCAATAATTGCAGTAATATTAGGTTAACTGGGATGATCAATAAGACTAGACTGAGATATTTACCACTTCTAACTCGAAAACAAAGTAAATTAAATTGACTGATTAGTGTGCCAACTTCCTTCGTAAGCTTTTTTCGTCTTTAACAAATGTTTTGTCATTCTAAAGCTATCAAAGACAAAATTGGTCAAAATTTAAATTTGTTGCAGAATCATTGTGCAAAACATCATTTCATGATGAGATGAAAAAAAAGCAACTTACATTGCTATGAAATATTGTGCATAATGATTGTTTCATTAACGAATGGACGTGTTCTCGTAGTCTTCAATTTTAATTCAGCAAAAGAAACCTTTTTTTTCAAAAAAATTAGGTCACAACGCTTCGATGCACTTTCTTGCGATTTATCAATACACTAATACCTAAGCGAGCTTAAAAATGCTCGAGTAGACCACAAATAGTTCATTACACACTTCATCTCATTTTGTGCAGAATAAAAAATGAATTCATGAATACACAAGGATAAAAGCTGAAATATGCTCCAAAAAATAATCAAAATATTTACTTCAAGGAACCAGGTTTTGCAGGAATAATTTTAAGCTTTCACAAATATCATTCTAATCAGTAGTAAATTTCTAACTTGAAATTTATTTTCTGAAAGATAAATTTTCTGAATCAGTACAACTGTAATAAAAGTGAAAGTATTTAGTTAAAAGCATATTTGACTCTTTATACTCTACAGTACGTTTTATTTTTAGTAAAGTATCAGTAAAAAGCAAAATTTTATCCCATTCATGCTTACAATTGTGTAAACTCGAAAAAACTTTACAGATGTCAAGATCTATAAGAAATAGATACTTCACGTTTGTAAATTTAGGATACATCAGTACTCAACAACAGTTTTGTTGGAAATCGTTACTGATTTGTCTTTATAATATATAGTAACTTGCACAATAAATTTAATATACACTAGACAGGAATGAAACTGCAATAGTTGTGGTATAACATTTTTAGAGACTTTCACAGAGAAATAGAATAAGTGCGAGGAGAGGCCTTAGAAGTAAATTTGACACTTTCAATTGCAAAAATTGGAGAAAACATCTGGCAACAGGTGAACTTACGGTAAAATTTTAAACTAAAAATAAATAAATAAAAAAACTGGTGTTAGTATAGTAGAGTGAATTCGTTTATACTCTCACTATTTTCACTAAATATAGCTCTCACTTAATGCTTTTAATATCGATTATTCCCACTTATGTTCATAAGTAATCTCAACTTAAAGTGAGTGAAATGAAACAGAGTTAATCTGGATTGACAAACAAACTCTTTTTAAAAAAACTTAAAATTTATAATTTACATATGCAAATTTACAAGTATAATTATTTACACATATGAACAAACAAATTTCCGCACTCATTCTGTTGAGTATGACCTTTAATGGAAAGACTTTACAAATTGTTTTGAAAGATAATTTTGATAAATTGCTATGGGTGTTTATTTCCTTTCTCTTATCAGATTTTAGTTTCAGCGAGAGATGAAACATTATTTATGTAATACGTATCCCATAATCCCAGAGTTTATAACGAAAACGTCCATTTTTTTTCTACTTATCCGAAATGTAGTTGGCAATCACTGTGGGATCATTTTCGAAAAAAATCGCAGTTATTAGAAATAAGATAGATAACTGAGATAGAGATTATGAATGAGAGTAAAAAATGACAATAAAAACAAGTATTTTGGTTTTTTGAGATGAACTACAGTTGCTCGAAGTTGATTGTTACTAGTTTCCTCCTTAAATATTAGTTTTCTTTATCGCTAACAGAATTAAGGTCGCAAAATCGCTTCTTCTAAGTGGCAATCAACACTGATCACTTTGTTCCTGCATTATTTTTTTTTCTAAACCTGTCATTTTTAAAATATCTCATGGTATAAAATGAACTAAAACTTGAAACATCTCCTGGATTTTTCTATTTTTGTCATTTAATTACGTAAATTTACTTAAAATTTACTTGGGGAGAATCACAAGATAAATTAAATTATCAGGATACTTTTCTTTCTTTTCATTCATTCATAATTTGTATCAAATTACATTTTTATCAAAATATTGGGTAAGTGGATGACAGTTATGTCAGATTTGTCATTTAAGCTAGTCTAGATTAGCAGTAAAGTTAAGGAATCGATTAGAATTTTGATGATCTGATTTTTAATTACCATCAAAAAATGATACCATCAACAAGTTTAGAAGCAATTTATTGTTTGAAACAAAAGAAAGAGTACTACGCAGTATAAAGTCAGGAAATATAATGTTTTCATTGATGAAAAATACAACGTAAAAAGCAGCATTATATTTGCATAAATAAATAAATATGCATGAATTATGAACATCAAAAAATAAAAAACTGAAACGCCGAGCAAGTTATTTTCTTTGCTTTGTTCCGTCTTAAAGAAAGCTTGCCTGCTCTATGTCTTAATTTGAAAGTTGACCAAAATGCTTGTTGACTGCAAAAATTAAGAAGTCCAGAAATCATTCTGAGCAAAGTGCTGAGAAGGCTTATGCATAAATTATTAGAAATGACATGCAGTGACATGGCTTTTTCACTATCATTTAGATAAGAAAGAAATAGACAGAAGCATTCAGTGAGGAGGTTCCGGATATGAAGTGGTTTTTGTCATTTCTCAAATACCAATTTATCTATTATTCATTCACTTCTCAATTTGTCACAGGATATACTCTCACTAAATATTGCAGTAATTTTTGTTTTTTTAATTTGCTAATAAAGATTGACTCAAAATAGAATTATGATAAATGACGATAATTACAACAAAAATTAAAAAAGTAATGAGTTGATTTACTTGAATTGTTAAAAAATAAACAAGTTTTGACCTTGTGACCTCAAAATGGATTGAAACGAATATTACATAGATTTGCTATTACTTTATAAGAGGAAACCAACATAAAGCAAAAACAGTTATTTCCGGATTTTTCCATTTAATTTAATTATCATTATCAAGATACATAAAAAGTGATATTAAAATTAAAAGTTGTGCAGTAAAACAAGAATGTGCTTAGAAATAAAAAATTACTAAAATTATTCCGTCATGTAGTTTTCATTTTTACAACGATTTTTAAAATAACTTTAAAATAAATAAATTAGATCAACTTTACTTGGCACTCTTTTATTCTTCTTCCTTTTTCCAAAAATCGAAGCAGAATCTTGTACCACTTTACAAATATTTGAATAATTACTACAAAAACAAGTCTGAAAAAATGTATATTATGACAAAAACGAAGACTGATTAAATCCAGAAATTTAAATTATTAGGTATTATGCGGAGACTAAAGCTAAATTTGACTAATGATAACAATTGCGTTTTACGATTACCACTTGCAAATCAATTATTAAGAGTGATTAATACAAAATTTGATGTATAGTAATTCGTAAGACGGTGGTAAAATATGTTTATAACTTAAAATGTATTCTTAAGTATACTTCAAATTCTTTCTGATAGTGATGAAAGTCCATAATGTAGTGAGGTGGCATTCTCATGAATTCAGTGCTTAAAAGAATATACATAACTCATTTTGTGCATCATTTAGAGAACATTTGAAAGATCATAAATTTTGACATTCCTCGTGTTTTAAATGTATTTCTAAATGATTACGAATTTTAAAATTTTGTTAGATTTTAATTAGGAGCGAAGAAAAGAAAAAGGTGAATTTTGTTAATGATGCGTCGAATTCTAATTAATTTTCTTCAAATTTATCGTCTCACCAAATGGCTATTAATATTTTGTTTTTTGGAATTCTTGAATTTTCTGTCTAAACAAAACATTATAAAAAATTATTTATACATGCAATGCGACACATATTCT